TATATATGTGTGTGTGGTGTGTATAATTATTTTGTTTATATAAATACACACACATGCATGTATACATTTAAGAAATAGTTGCATGTATATACTTTATATATATTTATACAAAATTCATATTAATAACACGTTTTTTTAAAATATATACATGCATATGTATATATTTATATGTGTATTTATATATACAAAATAATTATACACACTACACACATAAATTATGTAAACACAAACTTTAATCGCGATTAATCGTTTCACAGCCCTAATAGTAGAAAAAAAAATTTCTTCTTCAAAATATCTTCTTTCATGTTCAAATAAAGAAATTCATACAGGTTTGAAACAACTTTGTGTGAGTAAATGAATTTAATTTTAAAGTGAACTAGTTGCAAGTTGCATAACTTTGACCAGCATTTGCCACATATACCATTAATTTATGAAATAGTCATGCGTACGTCTGTTCTGAATGCTAAATGCAAACGTCTGCTAAATGTATAATAATCCATTTACGATAGGAAAAAAATAAGCTTATCAAATTTAAAAGGGAGAAGAAAAGGTTTGTAATATCTTTTGATGGCGTTCAAGGCTGTGCGTCCAATCAGTTCTAATATTTTGGCACAAATTTCCGTCACTTGAAGACAGCAAATTAGGCCAATTCAAACATGGACAAGTGTGTCATGCCCAGAGATGTATAAAGTACTAGAAACCCGGACTTGAGTAAAAGTACAAGTATTGTGTCATGTAATTATTAAAGAAAGCAGTCAAAAGTTTGAACTAGCAATCAAATAAGGTGCTTTGGAGGGTTACAAATTTGCTTTGGTGGCCGCCAAAAAATGTCATTGCAGGACATCCCCTGCATTAGTTGTCAATGTGTGTGTCAATCAATACCATTACCCTATACAACTGGCGTGTGATTTAGGCAGCACGAAAGCCAACTTGCAACGAATGATTCGGAAAATTTTTATAATTGTGACGCGTAACTAGCAGAACATTAAAAAATATAGAAGTAAAAGTATTAAATTCATCGAAAATATCTACTGAAGTAAAAGTAGAAGTATGAGAAAAAAAAAACAATACTCTAGTAGAGATACAGATACAGCATTTTAGTACTTAAGTACAGTACTTAAGTAGTTCTACTTCGTTACTATACATCTCTGGTCATGCCGTCACCTTCATAAACAGAAGTATGGATTGCATATTACGTAGGGTTGCAACTAGGGTTGGGTATCGTTTGAATTTGAACGATTCTGATTCCGATTCCGATTCCTTGTTTCGATTCCGGTTCCTAACGATTCTCAATTCCGATTCTTTTAAGAGGCAGGGTCAAAAAAGTTTAGCTAACCTTGCTAACCAACGGTCTTTCGGAAGGAAATAATCCTTTCTGAAGGAAATACTCCTTCTGTCACAAATACTCCTTTTGTCACAAATTTAGCATTTTGCCGAGATTTCGTTATTTTTAGAAAAGTGAAGCCACACTTTGGACCGCCGACGTAAGCTACTCATGTTCGACTCGCACGGTTATGCCAACACTTCCGGTAGACGCTTCTTCGTTGGTGTTGTTCAGCGGTTTCTTCTTCCGCTCTTCTTCTGTGAATATCAAAACTAGGAATCGAAATTTTTACTTTTGAACGATTCCGGGAAAAACGAAAAGTTAGTCCCGGTTCCAATCGATACTCGATTCTCGATACCCAACCCTAGTTGCAACTTAATGTTCAAACTTTTCTGTGTTAGGTCTTTAGATACGTTTATTATAGACAGGTCAGGCCAAGAAGCATGATTAATCGCATACATTGTTGTATAATTTAAAATAATTACACAAAATCAACACATTCAATTGACAGTCCTAAATCCTACACATTTTTTAAAATTATTTTTAATGAAATTATTGATACTCCTAGACCCTACCATGCCTTTTATTTATGAATTGAAGTCATGCATTATTAAGCATGAGCGATAACAAAAGGAATGCACATGTTCTACGCTCAAACAGTGTAGTGCCTGTTGCAAAAAGCATCTACATTTACAGTAGAGTGAAAGTCATGACTCATGAAAAGTCTTTCCAGCCATTAGAGTCCAGAGGAGTCAATGACTTTGACATGTGGTGAGTGCGAATGTGTGCTGCCGGTTTATGCTCAGCAAACTGTGATGTGGTAAATGACTGCAAGACCGACTCCTGCTCCATGCCTTCTGTGTGTTTGACTGGGAACTGGCACGTGCACAGGTGTGTGTGTGTGTGAGAGAGAGAGTGCAAGCGTTGTGTGCCTGTGCAGTCTAAATGGGCCTTGGCCCACTCTCTGGCACTCAACGAGCTCAGCGCTCCCACACAGATGTTCTATGTCCTCTGACCTCAAACTGAGGCCCAACGCTGCATGTCACAGAGGAGATGAGAGTGTGGGGGCTTCGAAAGAAAATGTCTGTGTGTGTGTGAGAGAGAATGCAACTGTGCAAGAAAGGGCGCAGTCCCACACAGTGTGTGAATGCATAAAGTACTACTGTAAGATTGTGTGTGTGTGAGCCAAGTGAGTGGGGGGAGAATATGGATTTCTATGTGTGTAAATCTACCAAGACTCTTCTGAAAAACTCTTCTTGTTTTCTTAATCTGTATTTTGTCTGTTTTCCGGTAAAAATGTATATTTTTATCCATCGTCTACTTCTAATTTATTAGAGAAGAATAACTGCCAGAAATTGCAAGATAATAAAACAATGCGTCGAATTAGGTTTATTATCGAACAAAATTTAGAAAGGTTTATGCTTAAATAACTTTTTGTCAAAGTTTTAATATCTGAAAATATGTCTTAATATCTTGTGCATTGTTGCTTCTCAAGTAAATCTGGTTATTTATTTTTTTTTTACAAGAAAACAGAAAGAAATAACTATACAGTAGGAGTTTTTTTTGCAGTGCAGAAAATTCTTTCCATTCAATAGTGAGGTTTGAAGAAGCCATCAGTCTGGCTTTATTAAAAATGTATGTCTTTTGCTGTATAGCAGTGAGGCTTTTATTAGTAGCACTTGCCTGAATAAGTCAAAACATCTCAGTTTCGCTCTTGCTATAAAAGATTACACAGAGTGGAGTCTTACTAAAGGAAAACAATTTTTTCTCCAGAAAATTCAAAATGTCGGGATAAAATAACTAAGAGAAATTAGATAAAATAAAAATGAAATCTAAAAATAATGGATGGATTATTTTCAAACTATAGATATAGACCTATAGATTATATTATAGATTAATTATAAAGGACTGTCCCATGATGAGATGGAACAGGGGATGATAAAAACTGACTATATATAGTTATCGTTTAAGATCTAACTATCTAACATTAACGTTCACAGTGAATTCTGTTTCAGTCCACATAGTCTTCAAGTATGGAAAACATTCTAACACTCATAACAATACACATTATAATTGCACTACTTTACCACTAAAAAAAGTTTTTGAAAGAACAGTTGTGAAATATTAATCTAATTTAAATCAACTGCTTTTATTTTATCATATATATAAATAAATATATATGTATATATAGGGCATTTCAGAATGTTTGTAAACAATAGGCAGCGCGATCCTTCCGGGTGGCAGAACGCGAGCGGCTTCTATTGACTAACTGAAGAGATCCAGCCGGCAACTGAACAGTTACATAGTTAAAATCATTGTTGTTGATCAAAGTTCAAATGATGGCGAAAATATGTTGTGTTTGGGGTTGCGCCATCAGATATACAGCAAAAGGTGTAGGTTTTTTTTTATCGATTTCCTTCAGAAAAAAGTAAATCTATCCAGCGGAACCTGTGGGCGAGGAGGTTAAAGCGAGTGGACGTCGTCAAAAGTGCATGTCATTTCTAATTATGAGCCTGAGCCCAATTTAAACCCAACCATTTTTAATACGTGGGTCGTTATATAACTGACGTTCTCAACTAACTTAGTTAATTTCTATTACTTTCTATGTTAGGCTACTTTCTTTTGAGCGGTGAGGAGTAAATGCTTCTGATTGGCCATTGCGTTCAATAAATCAACACATATGTCTGTGATTGGCCACATCGCTCACGGCTGCAGTCATGTTAAAAAGAAACTCTGCCATGTAAATCATTTCTATTTTGTTTTAGTTGTTCTTGTTGCTTTTCTGCAACAGATGAATGCAAATGTATTAGTTTTTATTTGTTTTATTCATAGATATTTCTAATTTGCGGGGGTCCCGTCAATCGTTTTATTCTCCCGCAATCCACACACACAGTGAATGCATTACCGCTCGCACTCGGCCATCAGATAGCCCCGTGCCGCGGTCTAGTGCGTTGGGAGTGCACGTCTCTAGATCAAAGAATCTAAGCTCTAATGATCGTGTTAAAGTATGTCTGAATTTCCACCACGTCTGTTTTTGAATCAACTGTTGAAATGTAGATTAGGCTACTGACGACGGTGTGTCTCCCTCCAAGCAATTTACTACTGTTGCTTTAGGGACGCTTCGGCTTTTGCCACCCGGAAGAACGTCTATTATTGTTCTGACGTCATGGTGAATTGTCGTATATGTGCTGCTTAACATTTTTGTGCAAATTACAATATAGTTTTTCAGGATTCTTTGATGAATAGAAAGTTCAAAACAACAGCATTTATTTGAAATAGAAAGAGTCTGTATTATTAAATATATATTTATTGTCACTTTTGACCAATTTGCTGAATAAAATTAATTCTTTTATTGCCAGAATGCCAGAAGAAGGCATGTAGCCGAAACGCGTTGGAGTTTTTTAGATGGTTGATTTGACCAGGCCATGGTAATAAAGGCTTTTTAACTTTTCTATTTGAGAGTGTCTTGGAGTCCTCTTGCTTTTTCGTCATATTCAGTTGCCCATCCAAAGAGCACCTCTATTTTAACCAAGCTTTGAAGTCCAGGAGGCGCTCCTTTGCCCCTACTGTTTGCTTTGAAAAGTAATCCTTTATTTTAAATTAATTTCTGAATGGTAGTGTTCATTTGAGTTTCTTTTCTTTTCAAATTTTCACAAACAGATTAATGTCGTCTCACCTGTGAGTACCTCCATTTCTGACACTTGATGCTGTCAGGTTCAGGAAGCTCTGGCATCACCTTTTCCAGCTCTTTCAGGATGATGGGCTGTACCACATTCTTTTCCTCCTCCAGGTGCTGGATGCCAAAGGGCACACTGGTGTGGACCACCACAGAAGGTCCGCAGTCCTTCGATGCTGCCAATGATACACAAATAATCATCAGGCTTACATGTGCAAGCTTAAGTCATGAAGTAACAATGTACAGATCCTACATTGTGTGCTACAGTGAGAGGAGGACTGTGAAAAGTGAAGTAAGGAAATTTCGATCAAAAGAAATGATGGTGAGATAAAAAAACAAAGACAGCAGCAAAACAGCAACGCCACTGGAAATGCCACAAAAAGTTTATTCTTTAATAAAAAAATTATAATTTTTTATTTTATTTTATTTTGCATGTCATAGAAAACATCAACCGGAGAATGTCTTTGACATAATGTGATGCAGGTTTTAAAGGGACACTGCACCAAAAACAGAATATTCTGTCACCACCCTTATATCATGCCAATCATATATATCTTTCATTCTTCTGTAACACAAATGAATGAAAGTCAGTAGGAAATAAACGACACGGATCACATTAACAAAAAACACAGACACACGTTCCTATATATCAAAAAGTAGTGGGACACCCTTCCAAATCATTGAATTCAGGTGTTCCAATCACATCCATGGCCACAGTTGTATAAAATCAAACACCAAGGCAATGCATGCAGACTAGGGATGTCAACGATTAATCGACGATCGATTCATTTTCAATAAAACATTTAATCGATAAAACTTATCGATCATCCATTAAGCAGGATCATGTGTGTGCATGCTGCTCAACGCAAAACATGTAAGCGAGCGTGCCGGTGTGGTGAAGAGATGAGTCCCCCTGAAGAGATGGGTCCCACCTTAGGACCCAAGCAATCCGATTGGCTCAAAGCTAGTTTTATGGGTAAACGCTTTAGTGCCTAGTTACAAATTAGAGAAAATCAGTTTATTATAAGAGACGTTTGAAGTACGTTATAAGGAGTCATTAATGTATTTTAACTTATATGTTTCATATACTAGTATATAACCGAAGCTGTAGGTTGTAAATTTAAACATTTCTCCTTCTTATTGTTTTTTAGTTAGCTTACATACAGTAGTAGCATAGCATTTATCCGCAGCAAACGTCAGAATGACTAGCCGAGTTAAAGCCGTTGCTGCTGAACTCCGAAAACGTCAGAACAATGTTTTAAAAAGGCGCAATCTTTATAAATAAACCACAGATTTGAGCTTTAAAAAACTATATTCTCGACTTAAAAACTCTTAAAATTACATTTCATGACACAATAACAGTAATATTTTTAAATTTCGTAGACTTTCTCCTCTGCTGTTCAAACGTCTCTTATTATAAACTGATTTTCTCTAATTTGTAACCAGGCACTAAAGCGTTTACCCATAAAACTAGCTTTGAACCAATCGGATCGCTTGGGTCCTAAGGTGGGACCCATCTCTTCACCACACCGGTGTGAACTGTTGAGTCCCACTGAATGACACACACCGGAGTTTGGGACTATTTTACACCTTCATCATGACTATAAGTTTGCGTGTGCATTTGCAGCCTTTTGTTTTGTGCAAATGTAAGTTTAATATTTTATTTTGTGTACGCCTATCTATATCTGATTTCTCTAATATTGGATGCATCTGGTTAAGATTGACGTGATCTTTAGCGCGCTCAGCTCAAACGACAATGCACGACTAATAATGACTATTGGGAATGTCATATTACACAAGATTATAAAGAGAACAATATTTTAATAAAAGATTGTGAATTATTTGGGTTTAGATACCATGTCACATTTTTTCAGGAAGAGCGCGTCATCTGAACATGAGTCATCTGAATGGCACGTAACTTAGTTCAAGTTCACTTTTGCATTCACGTCATTTTGTGCAGATATAATTTTGTAATATTATGTTTATTTTGTATATATCTGATTAATATCAAATAGGATGCGTTTCTTTGAGTTAAATAAACGCTAACAAAGTGCTCAATGGTTATTCATTCAGCGCACACCGCTCAAGCAGAATGCACGACTAATAATATCGATGGTTAATTTGGGACTGTCATATTACATAACATGAGAACACTGTTTTATTAAATGGTTGTGAATTCATTGGGTTTAGTTGCCATTTTCAGTGTGTTGCTGCAGCACGTTTACAACAGTCACACATTCTGACAAGCACGCATCTGAGGCGGCGTTGGTGACACATTGTATGTGTTGTTATATTTATATATTAAATAATTAATTTAATTTATCAATACAATCCTACAAACCCTTTATTTAGATTAAAAACCATTCTTATTAATTTGGTGAGGAACATAGCTTTTTGAGCAGCATTTGCAGTCCCTGTAATGCTGTTTGCCTTTAATGCTAATGTTTAATCGATTAATAGATCGTTAATTTAAACCACAATCGATCGATGGGAATTAGTGAAAATTGACATGCCTAATGCAGACTGCTTCTACAAAGAATTGTGAAAGAATGGGTAGTACTCAGGACCTCAGTGAATTCAAGCGTGGTAATCGTGATAGGTTGCCACCTGTGGAATAAGCAATTGACCTATGGCTAGGCCACGCCCCCTCCAATTACTCAGACAAACAGTCAACATTCGGGGACAGGCGCTATGACAGCGGTCACAGTAGGAGACATTTCACAGGAGGCAACGGGCTCTATGCACGGCGGTATTTCCAGTGAAGGTGTAAGGATGCTCAATAACTTCCGCCGATCGTAGAGTCCAATGCAATACCGAGAATTTATACTGAATTTTATACTCCATGGTTATACTAAAGAAACGTTAGTCACAAAAACAGATAAAAAAGACACCCCTCGTTGTGTTTATGCTTCTTTTTAAAATTATATTAAATAAACATAACTATAAAATTACATCTAAACGTATGTACGTTTCGTTTCAAAGACGGGAGGACAGTAAATTTTGAAGACTCTGCCATAATCCCGTTTTCCTCGGTTTTCCTCCGCTTTAATCTCCACAACCGGAAATGGACGAGCATCCTTGCGTCAAATGCGGAACTTATGCGTGCATATATCCCATTGGTGATTTTTGGAGACAGAAAGATTATATATCATCCCGAAGTCACCTAAAGCGCCTTAACTATGCATTGGGGGGTTATATTAATCATTTTACTGTTCAGAAGGTTGATGAAAAGCTTCAGCTCCAGGCAAAAAATGTACAGGTCACAGTGTAAAAACGTGATAACCCGCATATCGTTGCCATCACCGTTTGGTACTACAGTATTTACATGAATCATTCAGCACAACATTGATAACATTTGTTATCTCTGTAATTTACAGATATACGTTAATGAAGCTAAGGCTACGTTCACACTGCAGGCTGAAATGACATAATTCAGATTTTTTTGCCCCTATGCGACCTGTATCTGATTTTTTCATGACAGTCTGAACGACACAGATCCGATCTCTTCAAATGTGACCCGGGCCACTTGGGTATGTGGTCAAAACTTGGGTATGTGGTCCGCTATGTATCCGATCTTTTGAAATGCGACTTCAATCTGAACGGCCAGGTCACATATATCCGACACGCACGTCATTGCACGCACCTGTGTGCAACACCGCAGACGTGTCTCTTTCCTTGACAGAGTTGATCGAAGGCTCTCACAAACATAATCGAAGGTGGATCTGGTCATTCGGAAGTTACTGATAAATTCTATATCAGTGAAGCCACTCACATCAGTATCCCACCACTCCTAGCTGCGACTCCGCACCCACACATTTCTTTGTTTAATTTTCTTCTTAAAACGAGAAGATTGTAAGTGTGCTGGATCTGTTGTGAAAATAACTTTAATATTGCTAAACGAGCTCCACTGTCGACATCCATTTAGCTACTTCCGCAAACAACAAGTGACGTCGTTGACCGTTGAGTACTCTTCTGCGCATGTGGGTCACTTCTGGGTCGTTTCACGTTCACGTTCACACAGGAGATCACAAAAGTTCGCATTTAATTGGAAATGTGAACGGCCTTGCAAAAAAAAAAAAACGAATTTTTTCAAAAAATCGGAATTGAGCATTAAGCCCTGCAGTGTGAACATAGCCTTGGTGTACAACGCAGCTAGAAGCTAACATTAACATTTTTTAATGTAAGCCTCACGTTACGTTAGAGATTTTAAAGATAATGTTCTAATACGTTGTTGACTTAACTTAGATCAGATGTAGACAACCTTGTTTAATTTATCCACGTTTAGTTGGTGTTGTGGTCTAGCTACCGCATAACTTAATCCAGAGCAGACACTTATCTCGGTTGAGATGTGGCTTGGGAAAAGGTAAAAAAAATACACACCGTCGGCCAGCCTCTCAGGAATCGAATGTTGGAGTTGCATGTACCCCATGCAAACCGTTTGACCATTTTAAACTTAAAATAACAAGAAAAAACGAATGAAAACCGACTAACTGCAATGCTTTTCAATGGACGTGGAAACAGAGAATGTCCGAGTGTATTGGGTTAGCTGCGCACTGTGATTGGCTTATCGCGTTTAAGGGCGTGGCTTAGCCATAGGTCAATTGGGAACAAAAGCAACTCAGCCCACAGTGCACAGAAGTCGCCAACTTTCTGCAGAGTCAATAGCTATAGACCTCCAAACTTTGTGTGGCCTTGAGATTAGCTCAAGAACAGTGCGTAGAGAGCTTCATGGAATAGGTTTCCATGGTCAGGGAGCTGCATCCAAGCCTTAAATCACCAAGTGCAGTGCAAAGCATCGGATGCAGTGTATAGCACGCTGCCACTGGACTTTAGAGCAGTGGAGAAGTGTTCTCTCGAGTGACGAATCATGCTTCTCTGTCTGACAATCCAATGGAAATCCAGTTGCCAGGAAAATGGTACTTGCCTGATTGCATTGCGCCAAGTGTAAATTTTGATGGAGAGGGGATTATAGTGTGGGGTTGTTTTTCAGTGGTTGGGCTTGGCCGGGTAGGTCCAGTGAAAAGAGCTCTTAATGCTTCAGCATACCAAGACATTTTGGACAATTTCATGCACCCAACTTTGTGGGATGGCCACTTCCTGTTCCAAAATGATCCCCAGCACCAGCAAACACAGCAAGGTCCATAAAGACATGAATGAGCGAGTTTGGTGTGGAGGA